ATGACTTATTTCATGAACACGAGAGTGTATGTCTTAGGTTTTTAAATAATTCGTTTTTACCGAAATACTTTATAGGCCAAGCGATTCACCGAATTCCCGAAGTCCGACTATCACATACCGGTATAATTATTACTATTATTTTTAATTAAACTATTTCCCCCCTAAAATCAAATATTCACCGCTTAGTTAAAAAAATTGTAGCATTAGATCGTATGCGATTGATCCTCAGTCTTTGTGGGTTCGATAATCATTTAAAACTAGAACGACTAAACTGTATACTTGCAGTTAGTATCCCAATAGACTCATAAAGTCCCGATCACCTTTGTAGCCTTATTATTCCTCTGATAACGCCTCTATTGTGTTCTAGTCATCAGGTTCTTCCCCTTATAATTAGGAGACCCATGATATCCCATAGACTCCAACCTTTTCTCTTGCACCTAAGCTTCTTGGACAATCACTCTCCATTTTGGAATTTTCCCTCCTTTTTGGTTCACTGTTCCACCCATTTTTCTTGTGGGATGTTTGACAGAGGATGAAAGGTTTTTGGTCTAGGCTGTTGAAATAGCCTCTTATATTCTTCATTACGTCGAGGGATTCCCTCTTTGTTGAACACAAATCTTGGAATTGGAGGCTTCTCTTTTTTTAGAGCATCTTTTGTCGCCGCTTCATATTTTTCAGCCGCTTGTTCATCCTACAAAGCATTGCACCTTGGGAACAATTTGAATTTTGATCCTTTCACTTTGCAGTTTTCCTAAAAATCAGCCAAAAGTTCCTCAGGTTGAGGATAAACTTCTTGTAACTCAACTTCTATCTTCACGGCGAAACCTTCAGTAGCTCCGACCATCATAACTTCCATGTCGAAACCCTCAGTAGCTTCGACCATCATGAACTTAAAAGGCTCTGCATATAAAGCCTCTTTGACCTTTAACAAATCAGTATCCACCTGCATCTTTGGCTTTTCGCAAAATTTAAGCCTGCCTTCTTTCAAATCTTTCTCCACCAAATCCCTGAAAAGAACACATTGAGATGTTTTATGACCAAAAAAAATATGAAATTTTCATAATCCCCTTTTCTTCTTTTATTCTAGTGGGGAATTCTTTAGGCCCTGAGGCACAATAATTTGACCATCAGCTACTAATGAATCAAATATTTCATCACACTTAGTTATATCGAAAGTGTAAGTTTTTGTGATGGCTTTGCCACTTTTCTCAATTTCGACATGATTCTTCCTATTTAATGGCCTTAATAGTTTACAAGCATAAGGAGGCCTAGGATGGAGTTCAACCATATTAAGCTCAATTTCTTTGACTGACTCATCATCTTCAAAAGGGTATTCTTCAGTGGCTACATAAGAAACCTTCCATTTATTTTGATACTTGCTAACTTTGCCTTTCTCATCTTTCAGACATTCAATTTGTTGAACTCTAATAGCTAATTGTGCCATATCTCTTAAGTATTGAGTATCCGACATTTTTCTAATAGAATAGTCTAGGCCATTCGCAGCCATTTAGACTAATTTATTCTCAGGGACTTGAGTAAAGTATCTTGTTTTCAAAAGTATGAACCTGTTTAAGTACCGGTCGATTGACTTAGTAGCTTTTCATTTTATGCCAACAAGTTTTGTTAGACTTATTTTTTATTGCCCTGTGTAAAATTTTTCAGGAAATAATTTCTCCAATTAGGTCCACGTAGGATCGAATGGGGAGGTAGCATTATAAACCAGGTAAACACATTTTTTTACAGGGAACTTGGAAAGTATTTTAGTTTTGGATCCTCATTGTTGGCTATATCGCTCGCTTTGGTTTGATACCTAACAATATGCTCAATAGTGGACTCCTCTGTATCCCATGCATACTTGGTGAATTTAGGGACTTTCAAACCCCTAGGTAGTTCTATTTGCAAGACAAACTCTAGTAACGAGGAAGAGTATATCGATCTCTGAGAGCCAGTATTCATTCAGTTTTGAACCATGATTCGTTCGACAATGGATTCTAAGTTTCGTTCTCCAGCTACTGCGTCTCGTCGAACCTACTTGACCACTTGGTCAACATTCTAGTTTTAATTTATTATCACCTTCGGGGGTGGTTTAATAGCTCTAGGTATAGGGTTGGCCCGCTAGGGAATTTCTTGCTCTTGGTCAATTGTCTTGTCGACCATTTCTTCATACTGCGCTTGATCTTTTGGTTGAGGTGGTGCAGCATGTTGAACTTGCATTCTAGGGGCACCAAGAATGTCACCAATACGAATCATTTGAGTTGTCAACATTTGGTAACTCTGTGTTGAACTCTCGATTAATAGTCTCGGTATAACACTCATTTGTTGAATAAATATGTTGACCATTTAGTGATTACTTTTATCCATATGTTACCTCATAACTGCAATAGAATTCGTGGTGAAAGTGGGTATCGCTTGGGGTGAAAAACTCAATCCAGTCCAACGACCAAACTGATTTTCCACAGGCCCTGATGCGTGATAAAGGGAAAATGATGATGCTGAGTTTTCACCAAATATTGAAACATTGTTATGCAAGCCTGCCATCATTGATGTTGACATTCCATACAATCATTCCCCATCATGCATAGGCATTGCAAAACTAGGCATATATTTCCCAGAAGTATTGACCACGTTTAGCCTTGGAGTCACTGGCTGACTCGTGACTATTGGTATGCTTGGGGTCGTCGAAGATACAACTACAGAGCTTGAACCAACACTTGATGCAATAATGGTATTTCCTCCTGGGGGTTGTTCCCCATATAGATTTGTAGGATCTACCATTTTCCTACCACTTCTCAATCTCATGCACAGATTAGGACGAACTCAACACAAACGTCTCCCACCAGGTGTGCCAATTTGTTCGTGCCGGTTTATGGCGAACAATCTATAACCTCTTAATTAAAGGTTACTTGTAGGATCGGCTATAAGAATCTTAAACTTAGTGTTAAGTTTGATATAGGTTTTTAGTATTTGAAATGGGTAAGGTATGAATCGAAACAACAACAGGGTAAAATGATAAACAAACTGAAAACTTGAAATAAATTGCTTTGAATTAAAGGTGGATGCATGCATACATTTCTCATAAGTGACTCATTTCTCTCTTGACGTGGATACTTTGCGTTCTTTCTTGCAATGTTACAAAATACGACCGCTAAAATGAATATAAAAACTTGCTTAAATAGATAAACAGAGTAACCGTTCAACGATTATCAGACTTTCATGTTCTAAGTTTGTGGTGTAACTGCCTTCGAAAATTTCCCACGTCCTATTGACACCATCAATAATAATTATCTTTCTGTCGACTGCTTCCGATTTCAATAGATCTATGGGATCAAATCTCAACACCCAATTTCGGCTAAGTCCCTGAAACCTATCTAAGCACCCTGTGTCGACATCCCTCATCTAGTTGTGATGGCGTTAATGCTGCTTGTTTTTAACAAAACCTTCGTCTTGTCCTGGTCGAAAATTTGCTAGCTAACAATTTTCTTATACCTTTATACTTTTACGGAAAATTCCTTTTCTTAGATATATCCACTCACTTACTAAATCAAGAGATTAACTCTTTTTCTATAAACTCTCTGTCAGATACTATCTTTGTGTTGACACTGCTTGAAATCACTTGAGGTTTTGGATATTTTCCATTTTGCTTTCCTTCTTCGGATAGATTCATCAAACCATTATACTTATGTTTGCTTCACTTTGTTTGTCTTCTTCGGATGGTCAAGTTCATCATATCATAACACCTAGGTTTGTATCTTTAATCGTTTAAGTATTGTGCTTGACTAATCATTAGTTATCATCATCAAAAGTTGATGTCTTGATTAAAGGTCTATTACATGCAAAACAAGGTTCCACAAAAACGTATTTTAGTGTGTGTGTGTTGCCATATAACTTTACAGAAAAAAAATCTTTGTGTGTTTACAACACTCGAATCACTCAGACGTAACTAGGAGAGCATTCACACTTCCTCTCTTTCAAATTTGAAGCTTCAAGACTTTCCAGATAATCCAATCATAAAACACTTGCTTAAATTCTTCTTGAGAATGAAGCTTGACATTTATTCTTAATTTAGTGCCATCATCAAAGGACCTTTTGCAGTGATTAATAAACCCTACCGATGTTTGCTGGCATCTTTTACTGCAGGTTGATCATACAGGTTACATTACCAATTCCTCTTTATTAGTTGTCATCATAAAATATGTGGAACCATATTTTGTGGATTTTTGCTTTGCATGTGTCTTTTTGCTAGAGAGATCTAGCTTTGTTGGATTATGGCTTCTTGTTGATTCTCTTTTTGCCTTTCCCTTTTTTAAGTGGTTGGTTTTCCTTCTTTTTTTTTACCGTTGTTGGTGTGCATTACTTTTGGTTTCTTGTTGTTTTTTTGTTGCTAGTTAATTTGGCCTTGCACTCCTTATGATGTTTCTATGTCGATCTTTATTCTTCTTTGTTAGTGCATTTTTTCTTATCTTAATATATTACATTTATCTTTTAAAAAAATGTATCCAGTAAATGCATATCCTTTTCTCTCTTGTAAAGAATTTTTAAAAAAAAAATATCGTAATAAAGTTATTTTATATTAGTATAAAAACGCCTAAACTAAATAAAACGAATGGTCATGTTATTCACAAACAGTAGAGTAACATAGGATTCAAAGTATGTGTAACCATTATTATTGTTATTACTATAATGATTAAATTATAGTTACAGTGATTAATTTTTATTACTGCTATAGTACAAACTAGAGTTAATCTAATTAAGTTTTACTTTACCATAGTTACTTTTTATGGAATTCGTTATGGTGAACCCTAAAAAGTTTATTCTAGAATCTTCTATCTATTTTATTTGAAATCCGGTTACATTCTGTTATAACAACCCGTAACCGTTTCGTTTGATTTTGTAATCATTTTCATCAGTATAAAAACAGTAAGGTGAGGCTGTTAAACAAACATTTAGAGCAAGAATTGGAGTTAAAGAAAGTGAAAATCAGAGAGAGAGAGAGAGAAATCATGAACCCTAAAAATCAGGTGAGTTTTATTCATCTTCTTCTTCTTCTTCTGCTATTCTATTGCTAATTAATATGTTGCATGATGATCAGTTTTATATCTAATTTGCAGCCTGTTTATGTCCTTCGATTCTGCGGTGTATCTGATGAAAATCCAGGACCTGCTGGTGCTGCAGCTATACTGCTTGGTGAAGATAGGACTGTGGTATCAAATTTATGCAACACTTAAAATTCAGTATTATTACAAGATGTAGCTTACAAGATAGGACTGAAGATGTTTCTTTATTTTCTTGGTAGCTTTATCGATTCCGCTGGGGACTGGGAAATCAAACAGCTATTGCTGCTGAGTATCACGCGTTAATTTTAGGAATGAAACAAGCCATAATTAAAGGATATAAGAACATCATTGCTGAAGGAGACTCGGGGCGTGTTATCAATCAGGTTTGCATGATAAAAAGCTCATCTGGATTATTTCTAATGTTGAGATTTACATTTATTTTCTAAATAATATAGGTTAAGGGTTTTGAGTACGCACATGAGCCTATAAGGAGGTTATGGGTTGCGGTTTTGGAGTTGAAGCACAGCTTTCACGCATTCCACATCCATCTAATTCCTAGGGTATTTATTTACTAAGCTGTTTGAGATAACTCATACTAATGAAATATTGGTTCAACTCTTTGAGTTTAGATTACATCTCAGTCTCAAGCTTAACTTATATATGTTTCTTTTTTAATGTTTAAAGCTCGAAAACAGTTTAGCGGATGCTCAAGCAAAGCAGGCTGCTAACCTTCAAGGTTAGCCTATAGGTTTTAGGTTTTAATCAATGTTTGATCACTCACACGAAAGCTTTCGTTTCGATATATGTATTTTAGTATTTGGTAGAGGAACTTAAAGCTTAATATGGATCTTAAACATTTTTGTAGAAAGTGAAGTTCAAGAAGATGATCTCGTTGCATGATCTAACAACATGCCATGCCACTGCCAAAACATTTTTTGTTGAGCTTGTGTTTAGCAATTTAGCATATTGGATCGATGTTTTACATGTAATAATACTTGATATCAAAAGGTTAAATGTTGTTTGCAATATTGTAGATTTGAACATGCTTCCATGTATGGTTACTATATCAGCAGCTTAGGGATTTAAAATGCTGTTGTGATGTTTCTTATGTACTTATTTCTGAATTTCTGTTTTCTATGTTCATATGAAAAACCCTTGTAACCTCAAAAAGAAACTTTCTTTTGATACATTATATTCTTTCTAATAATTTGACTAAAAGTTTATGGTACTTTTCGAACATACAATAAAAAAGGATTAGGAAATTTTGCAGTCTGTTTTACTGTCTAGTGTTTTCTAGTCTAAGTATTAGATAAAGCCTAAAAATGTTAAAGTTTTTCTTGGAAAAATAAATTTTAAAATTTTGTGATTATTTTTCTCACCTTGAAATCTTTATAAACTTTGTTTTATTATAAAAATATCCGTTGAGTTATGTAATCTAGATTGTTTTTGAAACTTACATATTCTATAATTTAGACAATATCAATATATTACACGATCAAAAATAGATACTCATGCTCATTTTAGATTAGTTGGCACTATTTTAGATATGTACGCTCCTTATGAATCTCCTACAAATATGAAAGTGAATGAGAAAGTTGACATATATGAAAGTGATAAAAGATTAAGATTGTTCCCAATAACATTGATAGAGTGAATTAAGGATTGGCTTGAAGTTTCACCAAATAAAACCATCACTATATGGGTGGAATTAGAAAAGTTGTTTTTGGAAAGATTTTATTATATCAACAACTTCGTTAATTGGATGTTTGATATAATGGGATATGACTAAGGAAATTGTATTGGTCAAAAAGTACATTTGTACATATTCCTCTGTAAGGGAAGGAAGACTCAGAAGTCTTCGTAGGTGTATAACAATGTTTTGTTAGTGAGGGTTTGTCCACGATGGAAAATACTGTTTATGGGACCAACGTGAGATGAGAAGTTGTGCTAATGGTCGATGCTGCACTTGATTACAAACGAGTGGTTAGCTTAATCGTGTGTTACAGTTACATAGAGTGTGAATCACTTTTGTGTAGTAGAAGAAGTGTATGACTTAGAGTATGCATTTTCCTTTTGAGGAGTAATGTATTTACAGGGGTTTCTCAGACCTAGGGCTTTTACCCATTTACATGGTCTTAATGCCCCCCCCCCCCCCCCCCCCCCCCCCTTACAAGGAGAGGTTATTAACCACCTATCTTCTAGAAGTCAGTATGGACTCTTTCTTACTTGACTCCCACGTTCGAGGAACCCCTTGGATGAATCCCTTAGATCTCACCTAGGCGACACAATTGTGGGGTGATGGTGCCCTAATTTAGGATTTTACCAAATAAAACACTACACGGTCCCTCAAGCACGAGGACTTTTCTTGAAAGGAGAAGCGTTTAAAAACTATTTTCCCTTATTCAAAATGAGCCCCTCGCCTTATTGACGGTTTCTTCTATTGAGAACGGCCCGTTGGGTGGCAGAGCTCGTCCTTTAGAGGCGAGTCCCTCGGCTGAAGGAGTGTAAGATATCAGGTAGTATATTTGGTTATAATTCCTGCCCGATGAGTCAACTTCCAGGTGTCTATTGTTTAACTAGAATATGTCATCCTGAGACATTAATAAACCACATTACAGACGCGTTTTCCTTTATTTAATCTAATCAATGATGGCCTACTCTTCGAAATAACAAATGTTAACAAAACGTGTAGGTGGAGCAAATAGTTTCATAAAACCCGGAGGGGATTCAGAGAGTTCTCCTATAAAAAGGGTTTTCTTTTTTGCATTCTATTTTTCTATAATTTTACTGGAGCCATTTCATATCGTCATCTTAGCGAAGCTTTCAACTTCCTCTCAGGTACGAATCCCTTCATCTTTCCTAATTTCTTTTAATATATTTTAGGAGATCTGTTTGGAAAAGGTGTCTTTGTGTTAGGAATGAGATTTCTAGATCGATAGTTCTTTCTGGTGGTCACGACCGTGGTGGTTACTTATTTTTGTTCTACTATTTTCTCAAGAACAAAATGCCTTCCCCCTCTGTCATTTCCAAATGTGGGAGCGACTTTGTCTCCACTTAAATTTCCGAGGCAGATCCATGTATTTCAAACAGGAGTGGATGTCTTTTCCTCGGTAGATGAGTATCAGTTCATCTTGGAGATTTATCTACCATCAGAGACGGTAACTTTGTTTGTCTCCTCCGACCCTTCCTCTCCATATCTCTACTTTTATCCTCCCTTTATAAGAGACATGGGAATTATTTTTTCTCTTTTAGCTTTTTCCAACGAGATCCTCAGGGTCCTTAACATTGCTCCTTCTCAACTGTTTCCGAACAACTGGGGTTACGTTAGGCCTTTCGAGATGGTTTGTGAAAATCTAGACATCAACCCTACTAACGGGGGTCTTTTGTCCTTCTTTGTTACCAAATCAGTGAAAGGTAGTGTAGTGACCTTGAGCAATCGACTAATAAAGGATCTTTCTGCATCTCACTCTAATAACTATAATCATTGGAAAGATAAGTTTGTCTGGGTGAGGGGGCGAGAGCATTCTCTTGGAATGTTGGATATTGACGTTTCCCTCTCTTTCCCTTTTACGACTCGTGTTTTGTTTATGCAAACAAAATGGCGAAAACCTCTCCGGAAGAGCACAAACAGAGATGGGAGAGGATCAAGTCCTCCATATCAAGCATTAACAATCCAAAAAGCCACCCTGGGATTTTACCATCTGGGGGTAGAAAAGGGAGGTTGAGGCATGGATCTCAGAGTTACTGGAGTCTAAGGCTCAAAAGCTATGAGAGGGGTCCCCTTTTGTTGTTATTTAATTGATAGAGCCTACTAGAGGTAAGAATTCTGCACCCTGATGGAATGATGTTAGTCCTGACCTCCTCCGCTTCAAAGGTTCGCACTTCCCTTTTCTAAGGAGTTCCCTGTGAGTATCAAGCCCTTTGTTCACAATCCTACTCGGTCATTATGAATATTAAAGATACATTTTTACTAAGGGCTTTGATGCTTTAAGATGTCGAATAAGGAAGATATGACAAGGATGCTAGAAAACTAGAGGTAAGGAATCAGGAGTAGACGAAGGCTTATAATGAGAGCCAACAGTTGTTACAGTCCCTCCAACAAGATAGGGAGAAATAGGGGAAGAAGTTGGAGGATGCTCAGGCCAAGACCACGAAGATCTTTGATCGGTAGCACTAGGATGGGATACTTGTTATTATTTTATGTTTTTTAGAAGTTTGATTTATTTAATTATATGAAGTACTTTATTTTTTGAGACAACTAAAGCATGACTACAAATTGAATTTCGCTACTATTTCTTATTATGATATTGTTGAAGATGTATGTTGAGCATGTGTAACAGTTATAGTTAATAAATAATCTATTTATCTTTTATAAATAAAGAGTCTGGGTTTTAGGGTGTTATATTGTTGGTATCAGAGCAAGTATGTTCATTCGACCTAGGTTTATAAACTGATTTATACCCTAGTGTGTGACAAGTGTGTGAACATTGTCGATGCTTGTTGTTGTTAAATTCTATTTTCTTTTATTTTTACAATTAGTTAACTTGTTTTGATTGGTTGTACAGAAAGAAATAGCTAGAGGTAGAAACAATAAAGCAATTATTGATGCTCTGGGAGCGATAGCTCGGGTGATTGCGCGAGCGAGTACGGCTTTGCAGGAGAATCAGAATAATAACCAGAATAGGGGAGCTGCTGAGTATCATGGGCTGGGAAATTTTCAGAGGAGTAACCCACTTAAATTCGAGGAAAGGTACGTGTTATACTCCAAAATTTTGCCTCTTGTGTTTCAATCTTAATAGGCTTATAATTCATCATCATACTTACATATGCATTACATTGATTACTGGTTATGGGATCAAGGTATCTTGTGCTAGCGGTTTTATTCAATCAAGGAAGAGAGAGATGATCTTCAATGATATGGAGAAGAGGTCTCCTCAATCTCATGGTTTTCTCAGACTACAAGCTCTTATTATACTCCAAAGCATCTCAGCAAGATGACACAATCATCATATACTTAGGGATTGCAAGAGATTTGAAGTTGACCAAACTCTCATATCTTTTGGCCTTGAACTAAGGTTTTAGTCAAAGTCAACCTGTGGCTGACTTTTTGAGCAAAATATCATTATATGGTTCAATATACATCTCAAGGATTCTAAATGTCCATCATTGATCATCACAAGCTATTCAAAAGATTCAAGTTAATTGAAAGAAGAGAAATGATTACACTGAGCAAAAATTTTTGAATTGACTTATTTTATAAGATATTGTTTCATCATATTTCCATTTCCTAATCTCAATTCATTGATCATTTCTTGATTAGTTCTTAAGAACTAGTTGTTGAGATTTGTTTGGTCTTTGAAGTATGTTTGTGATGAACTTTTTATGATGTAGCTAATGACTTTTATTGATTATCATTTTGTTTACTTCAAATCATCTTTGCATTCCATGTTTGAATAAGTGATTGGTACCTAAAGCTTTGCATGCTAGTGCACCTTGTTGTTTGCTTTTGCTTGGGTTCTAAAACCTTAGGGTTAAAACCATTTTAGCATGACTCTTAGGGGACTTGTATGTGTGTGAGTGTTTACTTTGACACATATTTTCTTATTAATTAATGACATGAAGAATACTTATAGGTTAGCATCATTTTCTTGCTATTTGTTGATGATAGTTGATTTTACTTGCTAGTTTGAGTTAATGCTTGTCTTCACAACTTGTGCTACTTTGGCTAGGATAGATTTGAACCCAATACATGCTATGGGCAGCAACTTAGAGATGTTGGAATTACCTTCTTGAAAGGATTTTTGATTGTTCAATACTTGTTTAAGTGTTACTTTTGTGTTATGTTTTGATCACATGCCTACTTGAATTTTGTTTGGGTACTCTTTTGAGTTTCTTTGATG